AATATGCTTGGGGCTGCATCCTTTGCTATTGTATTATCGTGTCCTAGCTCATTTGGGTACGTTGATTGGTTAGTTTGTTTGTATTTTACACCGGATTAGTGATGCGAAGTATCGAAAGTCACGAGGGTAAACAGAATTAACTTATTCTAAGATCGCATTAAAAAATCGAATGCATACCTTGGCAAAGGATGAACGTATCTCATACATTCTCAAGCCTCGGAGAGTATGATTCTCTACATTTCATATATAAATGGTCATACTGCAAATAGAATTAGCTCTAACGCTTTATGCTAAAATGGTAATGCTATCATTAAATACTTAAGAAGAGACAAAATAAGAATGTTTATTCATAGGGTTTTGTTCAAGAAACTGTTCTTAATAAAAGCGCCTAGTTGAACAGAAAGCACTGAAAGTCTTCCATTAGTTAAGTTATAAATAATTCCTAACTCCTGGGCTTTATGACCAACACGCTCCCTACTAAGCAGGAAAACATAATATCAAGTACAATCACATACTGTGATACAAAAATAAATTCGTGTCTCGATACAGTGATCCATTACCGAGTTGTATTGTGTCAAAGAATTCACATTCCATATTCTGTTCTTAAAAGGTATTGAGTGCGGAAAAAATTAGGTGCGAAATTACGCATTGGTTGATTTCTCAGGTTTGATTCTGCGCCACGAGAGTCTAAAATATTTTTTGATGCGAATAAAATTTAGATTTCGCAGAATCTTTGGACCTTAACCTTGATGTGAAAAGTTAGGTTGATGCTATTCGTAAACTTGACTATTGACGACAGGGTGAAATTTTTTTTTGATTTTTGCCTTCATCCCAATTGAGATGTCTTACCACCCTGATGGATCCATACTCGAATTTGTTTTAATGCTGCAGTTATAGTGAGAACCTATAATCTAACCTCAATGTTCTCAATCGCTAGGCCTATTGTAATGTTATCCATTTCCTAGTCTAATATGTTCGTCCAATTGTTCTTTTGGTCATTTGAAAGTTGCTTTGCCAATGCTTGCTGATGAATAGATTTGGTTCGGATGTGTTGAAAGTGCTTGGGATAGGTAAATCATTGGGTATCTTGGGAACAAAGCTTCTTTTCATTTGTAAGCAGGGTCTAATGGCTTTATAGCTTGTCAAAAATCCCATCTAATTGAGCTGATAATCGTCTTGAAGAGACGGTTGGCAATCAGGTTGGCCTTGGTTGCTCGTGGCCACATTTCACTGAAGATAATTGGTCCAATCTTGTTTTCATTTTGAGTTGATTTTGCCGTAACTGGAATGTTCTGATCTAAGTATCCGATGCTAGAAGTAACCGTGGCAGTGTCAGCGGAATTGATGTTGGGCGCCTCCCCAGAAGCAGCGACTGAGTTCCTGAAAGGTCAGGGTTGTTCTATGCTGAACGAGACAGCCACATTAGTTTGTAAATTTGTCACATTATTTGAGTTGAAAAAGTTGGCCTTAGAAATTCCTTAACCTTTAAATTTAGCTGATTCGAGGTTGGGGCTTTTCCTCTTTCCACTCAATTTGCTGTTCCTTTCGAAAAGCCATCTTATCATGAGATGGATGTATGATAAATTGGAGTTTAGCTGTGAGCGTTTTTGTTTAGAGTATCTTGTTTTCTATCCATTTATAGTCTTATTTGACAAATTGATAGTATTTAAAAAGTGCAATTTTCGCACTAAAGCAAAAGCTAATTAGGAAATGTGGAATTCCATCATGCTAACCTATACCTTCACGTATTCTCTTGTATCCTCTTTGTAATGTTTTGATTTACCTTTCAAAACGTCCCACTTTTAGGTGTGGCTTTAAGTCTGTGGAAAGATCTTGTCTCATGAACACCTAAGGATCATTGCGTTGTATGGATTCGAGCGATCCGGATACGTGCTCAGCTAAAACTTGAATCACTCTGGGTCGTCTAAGGTTGTTACTGTTGAGAATCGATCTTTCGACAGTTAAATCATTAGGCATCACAAAGGTAGTTAATTCCACGACCTTCCAAAAGGCTTTTTTGTCTTGTGCAGATCACGTTTTCGATTTCATGTGGCTCGCATTATTGCCTTCAGCATGAACACAGATCGTAAGCGTTAAGCAGTAACTTTATATTCCGCCAAAGCCCTGGGTGCCAGGTGATCACAGGGCAGATGAGACTTTAAAGATATGCTTAGACTTCTTGAAAATCACATCGACAATGAAAGCTTCGATCTTGTTAATAACTGTGAAAAGTGCATTCTGAAGGATCCCTTTATGAATCTATGATGCTATATCTTCCATGTCGTCTCAGGGTGGTTCGGGGGGGTTCGTAAATAAGGCTTACTGGCCTTCCAGTTCCAACATTCTGCGATTCCGATCAATTAGTGTTGGTTATGAGTGGATGAAGAGCAATTGGTTGTCGTAAATGCTACCTTTGCATAACAACTAGCACTTGGTCCCGCAGAGTAGACGCATGCCTGAGTGTTTGCTCTGGTTTGTGTGTATCCAAGTGACGAATTCAAACCAGACTCTGGATTAACCGAACTTTCCTGGTGCTTGTCACCCTGCCGCTATTCATTTTTATAAGAACCGAGAATAGTCACTCCCTTAATTTCTTATCTTTGTCTTGTTGTGAGAATCCTTATCGACTCCTTAGCCTTCCAAATTCTGCAAAATATTGGTGTTCTTTATTGGTATTATGTATACATTGATACATGCGACCTCTACAGGCGGTTTTTTGCTCATAACCTCTTATTTAAAGATCGACGTATATTCCCCGCGCAGGCCACATTGCATAAACACAAAACCCTATATGGACCATGCGTGGTCTTAGCTTCCCGTCTCCTCACTAGTTCCCCCGCCTTTATTTCTCTTCCAAATTCGCGATCTCAATGATTTACGCCTTCTAGACACGGACTTCTTTTCATTGATTCAATAATTCAGATCATATAAGATTAGAAAAGAAATCAAGGAGGGTAGAGGTTGCGAATTCCCCTTACACGTCTCTACCTTATTTGGTTAATTTATCAAGACTCCCAAATAGAGTAATCTATCATTCATAATTCCAATGTAAGTTCACTCGTCTGTGTTATGTTCGCTAATCGAAGAGAGTACTGCTGTTTGCAATGCATTTGTCCATCTAACTTGGAGACTGGGAAATCATAAGTAAAATACGTACTCTGCATTACTAATTTTGTCATTCTCACAGTCGACTACATGATTTTTCCATCTATTATTTTTCGGGTGCTGATCTCATGTTAATCCTTGCGGCATAACATCAGCCTACACCGACAATACCTTGAAACCTAATCTCAATGGAAGCCTTCATCGTTTGTTGTTTCGTAACCCTATTCACTCTAGTCCTTGTTCCTTATAATCTCAATCTTTATTTACCTGGTAGCTCTTCCAGCATTCTCGGTCCGGCTTCACTCCTCTCCGGTTCGCCATCCATTAGCGGGGTGGGGGTGCTATCAGCTGGAACTGGCGTAAGCGGCATAGGCGCCACTGGAGCCGGACTTACTCGTGTATTTGGTGACCGCTCTTACCTGGCCGATCCTCGGTTCCGGCGCCGTCGAATAGCGACTGTTACATCTCCTACACCTGCCTCATCACGTGACGCCGAAACCAATGAGACGAGCTCCGATGAACTCAAGATGCTTTCTAAAGTAAATGATTTCGGCTTAGACGCTTCAGCATCATCTTTAAGCTCCTTGAGTCCTACTCTGCCCAATAAAGATTGCTCTTCTGCTACACAGACGTCTACGTCGGACAACCCAACAGGACTAAATTACTCAAGTGGCTCAAGCGCAGTATCAGTTGTCCGATAAAAATAGATTATTACTAAATAATTCAGAGAAAATCCTGCTTCTATAAGACAGCAATTCCGATTCACTACAATAATCCTCTTC